TGGCCGTATTTCCGCCTGCTGGTTGATTGAATGCCTTAAATAAACGAATCCGCTCTTTGCGTTGCGGATTGCATCGTTCAGCCGTCCATTGACTGACAAAGTCCGCGTCAACTTAAAAGCTTACTTGTTCAGTTTTTTTTGACAATGTGAATTTTAGTAATTCATGCTTACTGAATTCTTGGCTTAGCTCTGATTGCACGGAGCATGTTAGGGAGCTCTGGAATGCAAGGCTCACACACAGCGCTAAGTGCAGAGTCTGTACCGGTATTGCTGGTAAGACCATCGTCAATGTCATAAACCATAACCAAACTAAAATTGTATCCAAATTGCTTAATAATCTAGTTATATACCATGTGGCCAGATATTAGTTATTGGAATAGCGTCGCCATCTTCGTATAGTTTTTTACGTCAGCTGCCGTGAAGATAAATTATCTGGACTGGCCATCACCCTTGCGGTTCGATCAACAGCAGATAAAAATGCAGTGCGGCTGCGGTTTTCCAGTAACCGTGCATTATGCGCTCTCAAAAATAACTCAGTTGCTCAGCAATCGGAATACGCGTAATACTTCATTTGTTATAGTTCTTGTCGTTGTTTATAATTTCTCAAAAATGGTTGCTAGCATGGAGTCCACTCTTTTAAAGATGACCTTACTTATTAGCGACACATTGCATGTGATTCTGTATTTGAGCCTAGTATTGCACCGCATAATGGCATGCTCCGTACAAACAAGACTAAGCCGAGAACGTAGTAAGTACTAGTAGCTAGGGTACTGTAGTACAAAATGCTTACTTTCGTTTCTGTATGTGTGCTGCCCTCCACGATCACACGCAAAATGGTTTAATATCGCACACACCCATGTTTATCGTTGCCACGTAGTAACTACTTCAGCACCCGAGTACAGTAGTACAAATAGCTCGTACATGTACTTGTAATTATTGCATAGTTAAATGCTGTAATAAGCCTACGGTGCATATATCGCGGAGTCTACTGGAACCGTGTGTTTCGGTTTCCATTTAACCTCTGCGCATTCGAAAAGCAATCTACAAAGCCTGATCGTTGTAAAATTTAAAACGCCGAAAAGGAAAAACTTTATCGGATCATTTAGTTTTGTTGTGACTTTGTTGTTTTGTTGTGACTTTTTAGTCAGTGAGCCCCTGGACGATGCACTTCGTAGCGCGAAGAACGGTATCGAAATAATTTGAAACCGTCTTCGCTTAGCGAGCAAGTGGAGATAAGGCCTGCAAACAGCATGATTAGGGCACCCGAGGAAAAGAGAGTTAGAGTACGCTGCCAAGGCGGAAAGCCGGTGCTAGTAGTCCGAGAGGAAAAGCCACAGCTCTGGTTAAATGGAGAACGAATGTCCACGCAAAACCCGCTAAGCTGTCGTTTGACGTTTAGCAAAGCAGTTGCCTCGCTAAATCGTTTACCGTGCGTGTTATACGAGCATCTTTAGTCTGGTAGAAAGCAAACCTATTACGAGAGAACTGATTACAGATTTACCAGGATTTTCCCACGCCGATGCCGGCAAATATGCACGTGTACAGTACAACGGCAGCCGCTTTCTAAATCCCCGACATTCTTTGTTAGTCCGACTGTCACACCTACTGAAATCAAGTCTTTCAGCCACCGATGCACATCGTGACGCTCCGAGTCGGTGACACCGGCCGTTTTCCGTGCTATGTGAAATTTCTGGCCATGCCGGGTGACTTTGGTGATCGCTTTCTCTGTTGAAACGAATAAGATGTGATTTAAGCCAAAGGTTTTAAGGAATATCAAGCCTGACGCTCCACACTAAAATTAAACGCAAATATTCACAACGATAAACGCAGATAAACCCAGATATTCGCACTGATGGGAAGTGCCCTTGTCGTTCGTCCATAAAAATCTCGTGCGTGCAGCGCCGCCACACGGGGCGCTACCAGTGTTGGTTTAAGTTTGAATGGATTATTCAAGAATTGTAATTGGTTGAGAAATGTGGTGTGTAACGGAAAGGTTACGAGTATGAGAGCTACGTGTCACGGTGTTATTCGGCCTGTTTCGTACCCTCTTCCGAGCTATGACAATTTAAAAAAGGCGCATTTTTTTCTCCCTACATTGCATTTTACACCCGTATCAGCTGTTCAATGTGCATTCAACCTATCTACTACTAAAATATGCGCGTCTGGCCATTACTTTTAGAAGTATGCTTATTACATCTGCAAATGACCAAAACGTCCACACGAATTTTGCCGATTCTTTTGATATGCTTTTTAGTGCCACGTAAGTATGCTGAGTGCGTTTTTGAGCCGGGTCGTTATACAATTTTCAACCGCAAACTTTGGTCGTAATGCAAATTCTTTTCTCTAAACTCGGTATATTCCTACCTAAAGCTTACACGAATCTGTCGATTGTCATAAACTGAAGTCCCACTAAACCGCCTTGATAAAACTTCGATTACAGAAAACGTGCAAGCACGTAATATATCGTACCGTGACTACTAACAACGCTACCACCAAAGCGTCTAACACAAAATTCGTACAGCCTTGCCGACCACACCGTCCGACTCGAACAAACATCCTTAACATCATGGGCGCAATGAAAACGCAAAGAAAATGGGTTGGTTGAATTTGCGAGGGAACCTGCTGATTTTATATTACTTAACTTTTAAACTTGGCCGAACGAAGCACATTTGTACATATTGGAATCGTTAATCTTCTTCTGGGGTTTTCAGTTAACGAACGCCTGGACGAAGCCATTCGAAGGGCGAAAAACGGCATTGTCCATTTAAAGGAGTCGTCAATCAGCGCGCCAGCGGAGACATGGCCAGTGAATAGCATCCTGAGGTCACCCGAAGGAAGCACAGTGAGACTTCACTGCAAAGGAGGAAATCCTGTGTCGGTGGGCAGAGAGAAAAAACCACAGCTCTGGTTGAACGGAAGGCAGAAATTCATCGTGAAATCAGAAACGCTGCCGTTCGAGGTGCAGACATGCAGTTGCCTTGTTGATTCGATTGCTACGCCTTTTTCGAACAAGTACACCGTTGACCTAAGTAATCCTAGCACGGGAGAAATGATTATTGATTTACTGGCATTTTCTCATGTCCATGCCGGGAAATACGAATGTCGACGGTACAACGGCAGCTCTTTCCTCACCACCCAAACATTCTTTGTGAGTCCAATGGTCACACCTGCGCAAGTCTTTCAGCCACCGATGCGCAACGTGACCGTCACAGTGGGTGACACCGCTCGTTTTCCATGTTATGTAAAATTCATAGCCATGCCGGACGACTTTGGGAATCGTTTTCTCTGGAGAAACGAAGATCACGTGATTTATGCCGATGGGCTTAAGGAATTTCAAACCGGGAGCTCTACAATGACCAATTTTAGGACAACCGTTTGCCTAACAACGGATGGATTTTGCCACTTTCACTCAACTCTGGAAATCTTGCGTGTGCAGGTCAACCATGCCGGGCGTTTCCATTGTTGGTTCAAGGTGATGACGTCTTCCACGAATTGAGATTGTTCAAGATGCTTACCTAATTGCTTACCTGAAAATATTTTGGGACCGCAAGGTTACATATGCGATGGTTGTCCTTTGCGCAGGGAAGCTACGTTTCGTGATGCCCTACTCATGTGTATGCTGTGAGCAGAGCGTATGTTTGTGTGTCCTGTATATATTATGTGTGCTGTATGAAGTATGTTTATCGAAGGGCACTTACGTGGCATTGGTTATACATCGTGCCACTGTAAGCTACATATAGAGCTAATTCTAAAGTTCATACTCGTTCGCGATTGCACTGCTGCTAAAAAAACAACACCAAAAAGAACAGGAAGGTGCCAGATTGGTTCGTGGGCAGACGGAGCTCAGCTGTGCAATTTATACAACGTTAGAGTGTACTACGTCAGAGCTCCTAGTAGTGCCCGGTACAACCTAAGTAGGAACATGCAGTTATTGCCGTGATTTTTTAGTCAATAAAAACCGTAGACAATGCGCTGCGCGCTCTGTTTTGCGAAAAGCGGCACCGTGCATTGAAAGGAGAAGTCTTCAGGAGCAAGACTGCGGAGACATTGCCAGCGGACAGCATTATCAGGTCACCAGAGGGAAAAACAGCAAATCTCCACTGCAAGGGAGGAGCGCCTGTGCCGGGCAGGCAGGAGGAAGACCTCCAACTTTGGTGGAACAGCAGGCGGAAATGCACCGAAACTGAAATGCTTCAGTCCGTGATAGCATTGCAGGTGTCTCGTTAACTCTTCTACTGCGCCTTTTATAGCAAGTATAACCTCGTCGAAAGCAATCCTATTACGGGAGAAATGATTACTGCTTTTCTGGTGCTGTCTCATTTCATGCCGGGAAATACGAGTTTCTACGGTATAACGGCAGCTCTGTTCTCAGCACCCAGGCATTTTTTACTATATTCATTCCCGAAATAATTTTTATTTTTCTGTAAAAAGAAATACCGAATCATCCATGCTGCACACAATCAGGGCAGTATTCGTGTAAACCTGACAGCCAATTCCACAACGGTGTTATTGCGGAGCATACTTTTGTTTGTCTAGCCAGGAAAGCGATAAAAGCTAGATAAACACCCACATATCCATGGATTTTTATTATTTTCTTTTCTAGTAGTTGAATAGACCAACAAGAATTTACAGCTTTGTTTTTCGACAATGATGGGCGGAAAAAGCCTGATTCCGAGCGTTAGCACCTGACTGCCATTACAATGGAATTTAGGTTGTCATAAGTAAATAAACAAGAGAATTTGACGAGTCTGTCGTTGCACAACCACGATGTACGGCATTATAGGCCTCGTAAATAGAAAACAATATTCCCAGTTTCACAGTGCAGCTAGCAGGGCTCCTTGCACTTAGTCTGGTAACAAAATTCCATGATTTTACGCGACTTCAGTTAGGATGAAAACATCTTTATTATCGTAAATAATGGTCCTGTTTTTCGGATACCGTGCGTATAAATAGCAGCTGAAGTGGCAAGCCAAAACCAGTTTCCGGTTTCAAGACCAAAGGTTTCCTTCTGCGTTAGTGTACCTACTGCGTTTCTCCGTTCTGTCTTACACGTTTCCAATTTTGCGGCTGTTAGCGTTTTTCTGAAAGGTCAAGCGGTAATTCTCTTAAAATGCTTCTGGAAAGTGCCCTGCTTCTGTTGGCCGGCCTTGCCGGGGTCTTCGGCCAGGTCCCATCGCCAAGTGCGCCGGCCAGCAATTTCTCTTACATCTCCGGGAAAGGCAGTTACCTGTTGGCTATCGATCGAACCGGCGCCGTTCATCGTCTAAATGGGACAACGTGGGTTGCACTGCCCGCGCCGACGCTGGTGGGCAATCCAGATATCCCTGTGATCTCAACACACGCACGCAGTGTGGGCGCCAGTCCGGATGGCTGGCATCACATGTGCACCAAGACGGGTGAACCCTCCCGCTTTAATCCAAACAGCAACACGTGGGAGTATACGAATAATGTCTTGTGTAAACAAGTAAGTGCATGTTAACGATGAAGCAATTCGCTATTGGCGCACTTCCCACTGGATGGTTCAAAGACGGTTAATACATGTAGCTCGGTTAATAACGAAAACATGCAGGTGCATTTCTTATATCCCATCACATCTACGGTAATTTCACACTTACTGAATTTAGAGATGCAAGTGCTTGAAAGTAAAAACCAAATAAAACGTTGTAAAAACTGAAAATAGTCGGAACTGATCATGTTATTAATACTTGTTCAGATTATTAGTTCAGCTACAGATTTTAGAATTAGATACATTGTTGTTCGTAAACGATAAAATTCGGTAACTGCTTTGCTTACTAGATCCAGATGCTAAAAGTCTGTCTGTGAGCACTGCCTTTGCTGTTTAAATAAGGTCTGTACATAAATTACTGTTGCTGCGTCTGCTCATGTAGAATGACGAGGAACCTCGAATGTAACAGGACTGCATGCACTTTTCTTTTAGATTAACGCAAGGAACAAGGACAACGCTGCGGCAATCAAGTTGGTGGCCCCGAGGTTACCAGGGAGTAGCATGGTCCTATACAGGTTAGAGGGTTAACCGAAAATTCTGTTTGAGCTACCCATAGAATTGTAGATGCGCATCGTTGATCCCGCGTCTTCAAAATCGCAACTATTTCAAACTGCTGATGCACTTTTAAAATTCTTCGTTGTACAGCCACAGGTATCCTCGCAACCGGAACGTGGAACCTCTTAGGCGCAACCACGGATAATAATTTCGACTACCTAGAATGGATCAGCATTGGGGAGGACGGTGAGATCTGGACTATTGCGAATGAAGGCCGCCCAACGCCAAATTTGAACTATGTTACTACGGTATTACGAGTGTTGCAAGACGACGGTCGTTCGAGGAAAATACGACCATGGTTTTCTTCGTTGTAGCGACACTCGGGGATTCTTCGTTAATACCGTAGTAACATGGTTGTCAACCGTAGTAAGACCGTCGTAATTAAAACAGTGGGCGTAGTGTGGTATGTAACTACCGTAGAAATACGGTGGAGAAACAAACACATTCTACGGTGGGAATACAGTCGTCCGTACTATGGTATATCTATTTTATATTTGTGTGGGCAAAACCATCAACACGGTAGTTTTATTTCAACTCAAACTTTAACATTTACTAAGCTCACTAAGAAAATGCTAACAATATTAATGATAAAATAAAAAGTAAAATAAAGTCCAGATCAGATCTCTGCTCACTGTCAGTTGATGCAAAACAGTAAGCCAGGAAAACGGAAAGATTTTAGAACTATGAATGCAAACAAAAACAGGAATAATGTTTTATGGAATGCTTAAACTGCTCCGGGTCAGTGGAATATTTTCCGATAAAGGGAGACTGACAGTTTCCGACCCTTCATCCGAGCTTTTCCGTGGCGCATTTCTGCAAAATAGTAAAAATAAGGATCAATTAAATTAACACTGGACACAGGGTATCGAGAGACGGTAGTGTCAATAAATGTAAAACGACTAATTTAAGTAAATAATAGCGTGCGGTAAGGCAAGTGATTTTTCTCAGTAAATTATATAAGTAATACTACAGAAGCAAGGTATTTTGCGTGTAGATTTAGTTCAAGCTATGCGGGCGTATACGAGTATTTTGTGCAGAGGACCTCCTGTGATTACCCTAAGAATCTCCTGCTGGTTACCCTAAGAATATCCTTTACCAATTGACAGCAGTTCATGATTATTCTGTAATTATTAGACTACATTGTCCTCAACGTATTAAGTAATCTGTGAACCGTCAGCATAATAGAAAAGTGAGTGCAATAACAAAGAAATTTGAAATCTGTCTGGGTGGAATCATGAAAAAATCAGATATTGGTACATGCTTGATGCTACATAGCGAACATGGACAGGTAAGTCAATAAATTATTACCAATTGCAGTGACAGAACGTGGCTGCCGTCACGCGATGGCAATGTATGGTGGCGCCGTCAATGCGTAGTCGCTGGGATGCATTCAGGATATCTGCAACAACAGCGGTTTAAGAGAGAACTAAGGTCTTAGAATATCGGCAATAACAATTGTTCGACCCGACGGAAAATATTGCACCCATCCTATTATTTTACTTCTTGCATAATACATGGAAGAAAATGATGGCAATCTTAACTCGGTTTAGAAAATTATATGAGTCACAGTCACACCCAGGGCTTTTTTTAGACAACACCCCACACGCCAATCGGTTTTTTGAATAAGCCGATTGCAGATTCAGGATCAGCGAATTTTTTTGACCTAGAAAAACTATCCCCCCTTGAAAAATAAAATGTCGCCCCTGAGGGGTCCAGCGCCCCATACGGTACCGCCACCTCCGGCGGTCGCAATAGCGCCCCAGGGGGAATGTTGTTTTTCGGGTTTCAACCACATATTCTAGTCAAACCAGGTGCGCTGATTCTGAATCCGCCATCAGAAAAATTATAGAGCCACTCGATTTTGCCACTTTCACTCAACTCTGGAAATCTTGCGTGTGCAGGTCAACCATGCCGGGCGTTTCCATTGTTGGTTCAAGGTGGATGACGTCTTCCACGAATTGACTGTTCAAGATGCTTACCTAATTGGGCTTACCTGAAAATATTTTTTGGGACCGCAAGGTTACATATGCGATGGTTGTCCTTTGCGCAGGGAAGCTACGTTTCGTGATGCCCTACTCGTGTGTATGCTGTGTGACAGAGCGTATGTTTGTGTGTCCCTGTATATATTATGTGTGCTGTATGAAGTATGTTTATCGAAGGGCACTTACGTGGCATTGGTTATACATCGTGCCAATTGTAAGCTACATAGAGCGCTAATTCTAAAGTTCATACTCGTTCGCGATTGCACTGCTGCTAAAACAACACCAAAAAGAACAGGAAGGTGCCAGATTGGTTCGTGGGCAGACGGAGCTCAGCTGTGCAATTTATACAACGTTAGAGTGTACTACGTCAGAGCTCCTAGTAGTGTCCGGTACAACCTAAGTAGGAACATGCAGATATTGCCGTGATTTTTTTAGTCAATAAAAACCTACGAGTAGACAATGCGCTCGCGCGCTCCGTTTTGCGAAAAGCGGCACCGTGCATTGAAAGGAGAAGTCTTCAAGGAGCAAGACTGCGGAGACATTGCCAGCGGACAGCATTATCGGGTCACCAGAGGGAAAAACAGCAAATCTCCACTGCAAGGGAGGAGCGCCTGTGCCGGGCAGGCAGGGAGGAAGACCTCCAACTTTGGTGGAACAGCAGGCGGAAATGCACCGTGAAATCCGAAATGCTTCAGTCCGTGATACAGCATTGCAGGTGTCTCGTTAACTCTTCTACTGCGCCTTTTATAGCAAGTATAACCTCGTCGAAAGCAATCCTATTACGGGAGAAATGATTACTGCTTTTCTGGTGCTGTCTCATTTCATGCCGGGAAATACGAGTTTCTACGGTATAACGGCAGCTCTGTTCTCAGCACCCAGGCATTTTTTACTATATTCATTCCCGAAATAATTTTTATTTTTCTGTAAAAAGAAATACCGAATCATCCATGCTGCACACAATCAGGGCAGTATTCGTGTAAACCTGACAGCCAATTCCACAACGGTGTTATTGCGGAGCATACTTTTGTTTGTCTAGCCAGGAAAGCGATAAAAGCTAGATAAACACCCACATATCCATGGATTTTTATTATTTTCTTTTCTAGTAGTTGAATAGACCAACAAGAATTTACAGCTTTGTTTTTCGACAATGATGGGCGGAAAAAGCCTGATTCCGAGCGTTAGCACCTGACTGCCATTACAATGGAATTTAGGTTGTCATAAGTAAATAAACAAGAGAATTTGACGAGTCTGTCGTTGCACAACCACGATGTACGGCATTATAGAAGCCTCGTAAATAGAAAAACAATATTCCCAGTTTCACAGTGCAGCTAGCAGGGCTCCTTGCACTTAGTCTGGTAACAAAAATTCCATGATTTTATTACGCGACTTCAGTTAGGATGAAAACATCTTTATTATCGTAAATAATGGTCCTGTTTTTCGGATACCGTGCGTATAAATAGCAGCTGAAGTGGCAAGCCAAAACCAGTTTCCGGTTTCAAGACCAAAGGTTTCCTTCTGCGTTAGTGTACCTACTGCGTTTCTCCGTTCTGTCTTACACGTTTCCAATTTTGCGGCTGTTAGCGTTTTTCTGAAAGGTCAAGCGGTAATCTTCTCTTAAATGCTTCTGGAAAGTGCCCTGTTTGCTACGGCCTTGCCCGGGGCTTGACAGGTCCCATCGCCAAGTGCGCCGGCCAGCAATTTCTCTTACATCTCCGGGAAAGGCAGTTACCTGTTGGCTATCGATCGAACCGGCGCCGTTCATCGTCTAAATGGGACAACGTGGGTTGCACTGCCCGCGCCGACGCTGGTGGGCAATCCAGATATCCCTGTGATCTCAACACACGCACGCAGTGTGGGCGCCAGTCCGGATGGCTGGCATCACATGTGCACCAAGACGGGTGAACCCTCCCGCTTTAATTCAAACAGCAACACGTGGGAGTATACGAATAATGTCTTGTGTAAACAAGTAAGTGCATGTTAACGATGAAGCAATTCGCTATTGGCGCACTTCCCACTGGATGGTTCAAAGACGGTTAATACATGTAGCTCGGTTAATAACGAAAACATGCAGGTGCATTTCTTATATCCCATCACATCTACGGTAATTTCACACTTACTGAATTTAGAGATGCAAGTGCTTGAAAGTAAAAACCAAATAAAACGTTGTAAAAACTGAAAATAGTCGGAACTGATCATGTTATTAATACTTGTTCAGATTATTAGTTCAGCTACAGATTTTAGAATTAGATACATTGTTGTTCGTAAACGATAAAATTCGGTAACTGCTTTGCTTACTAGATCCAGATGCTAAAAGTCTGTCTGTGAGCACTGCCTTTGCTGTTTAAATAAGGTCTGTACATAAATTACCGTGTTGCTGCGTCTTCTGCTCATGTAGAATGACGAGGAACCTCGAATGTAACAGGACTGCATGCACTTTTCTTTTAGATTAACGCAAGGAACAAGGACAACGCTGCGGCAATCAAGTTGGTGGCCCCGAGGAGTTACCAGGGAGTAGCACGAACCTATACAGGTTAGGAGGGTTAACCGAAAATTCTGTTTGAGCTACCCATAGAATTGTAGATGCGCATCGTTGATCCCGCGTCTTCAAAATCGCAACTATTTCAAACTGCTGATGCACTTTTAAAATTCTTCGTTGTACAGCCACAGGTATCCTCGCAACCGGAACGTGGAACCTCTTAGGCGCAACCACGGATAATAATTTCGACTACCTAGAATGGATCAGCATTGGGGAGGACGGTGAGATCTGGACTATTGCGAATGAAGGCCGCCCAACGCCAAATTTGAACTATGTTACTACGGTATTACGAGTGTTGCAAGACGACGGTCGTTCGAGGAAAATACGACCATGGTTTTCTTCGTTGTAGCGACACTCGGGGATTCTTCGTTAATACCGTAGTAACATGGTTAAGTCAACCGTAGTAAGACCGTCGTAATTAAAACAGTGGGTTGGCGTAGTGTGGTATGTAACTA